TACATGCGTTCTCTAGAGAAACAAGAAATTAACACCTTAATTTTTTTTCCCCAGTTTTGCTATAGGGTTCACGTTCTAACCGGAGAGAGATAAGAGACAGAGAAGGAGAGAGAGAAAGTGAGTAACCTCCATCAGGGTTACCATGCTGCAATCCCTTTTCCTTTACTCTCCTTTCTCAAGATTTTGGGCAGCCTGTACACGTCTGGTGTGTTTTTCAAACTACTGATCCGGGACTTGAACTGTGCAGTCAGCATGTGGGATCCAGCTGTCTTAACCACCATGCTACCTGGCTGGCCCCATCCTAATCGTTTCTAAGCATACAGTTCGGTGGTATCAATTGTACACATTGTTGTGCAGCCATGCAGTACATTTAATTTAGACTAACCACATTTCAAGTGTTCAGTAGCCACAGGAGGCTTGTAGTTACCACATTAGATGGAGCAGTTCTTGAATCTTAGTTTCAGATTGTTGCTTTTTTTTTTTTTCTTTTACACTGACATTTATTTAGGCTGAATGGGTTACTGGTTAATTTACTCATCACTGCTTCTTGCACTTGTAAAGACTGAGAACTTTGTATTTTATACATTTTATAGCTCTTATCTCATGTGGCTAGTAAACGTTTGAAGACATTCATGACATCTGACCCGAGAGTTATCAGATTGATCTTACAGAAGAGGATATGGAACTGTTCAAGGGTTTGAACTTCATGAATAGCAACGTGCAGTGACTCAAATGACTATTTTCAGTATGATTTGAAAATGTTTGTCAAAAAGCTAAAGGTCTTTAAAAAAAAGCTGGGGTAGTGAATTTCAATATTCCATTTCTAGCCCATTAACCAAAGCCAAAATCCAATCCGTTAACTTCTCTGCTGCTGCATCGTGTGCCATTTCCACAGTTACTCATCTGTACCCTGCTGGATAATAAAGCCATTATGCATTTTTTTTTTTAATGCCTAAATGCTTTAAATTTCCTTCAGGAAAAAAAAAAAAGAGTTCTTTCAGTTTCCCTGGGATGCCTTATACAGTGCCAGCATTCTCTTGGCATTAATAAATGTTAACTTGGGACCAGCAGATGGAATAATGGTTATGTCACTGGGCTTTCACGTAGTCTTCTACCGTTTAAGTGCCCAAATCAGCGACTGAAAACTCACACCAGGTGCGTGTGTGTTCATGCCCAAAATCCCGAGAGAAGAATGGAGGAGAAGGGATTGTGGCATGCCCATCTCACCTGGAGGGTAATTTCTTACTTTCTGTCTCTCTATCTCTCTGGTGAGCACAAGAGCCCTATAGAAAAAAAAAAAAACCCTCTAAGGGACCAGCAGTTAGCGTAATGGTTATGTCGCTGGACTCCCATGTAGTCAGCCGTGGTTCGTGTCCCCCGGACCCGGTGGCTTAAAACTGACGCCGGGTGCATGTGCGTGCGTGCCCAAGATACCAAGAGAATGGAGGAGAAGGGATTGCGGCATGGCCATCCCCCCCTGGGGGGTGATTTCTTGCTTTCTGTCTCTCTGTCTATCTCTGTCTGTCTGGGGAGCGCATGCGCCCTATAGCAAAAACCTCTTAAAAAAAAAGAAAAAATCTCTCTAAAAAATAAAAATAAATAAATATTAACTCAATAAAAGGCTGCATGGGAGCCAGCAGGAGGAATAAGGGTAAGGTGCTGGATTCCCATGTGGCTGACCACTATCCCAGATCCAGTGGCTTTGAAATTAACATGTGTGCATGCATGCCCAAAATCCCAAGAGGAGAATGGAGAAGGGACTATAGAGTGGCTATACCCCCTGGGAGGTGATTTCTTGCTTTCTGTGTCTCTGTCTCACCGGTAAGCGTATGCGCCCTATAGGAAAAAATCTCTCAAATAAAATAAAATTAATAAAAGGTTACATGACATAATTACATGAACTTCCTATAGCTTCCTAAGGTCCTTTAACATAACCTCTAATCTCAACCGGCAAACATCTCCAGAGACTCTGAAAAAGTCTCAGAAGCCAGGAGTGAGTCTCCTGAGGCCTGGAGGCAAATCATTAGAGAACCCAGTAGCTCAAGGCAGATGCAAATTAAAAAGGAGGTAAGTTTTTTGTCCCTGAGAAATTCTGATCACTTCTACCTTTTTTCCAACTCACAGAAGCAGAGTGCTTAGAGGACCCTGAGCTGGACCAGCTCAGTTTAAAGAAGTAAATAATTGCTTATCTCCCTTGGTCAACAGGAAGGAAGAAAATACATGTTAGGAGAACTCATGGCCTACTCCTGGGAATAATAAAAATGGTGTCCTTTTAAAGGGCCTGGAGATCAAACGATGGAATTGCTTTTAATTCTTTCTTCCCATCCTGTTCTCTTACCACTCAAATATAACCAAAGAGTTAATCGGACTTAATAACACCAGTTACTTAGAACTCTGCTGTCTTTAACATTTCACTTTTCTCATGTCTTCTAACTCCTAGCTACCAGTCTTAACTAAACTCTGCATCTGTAAAACCCGGGACAGTGAGAAAGCAACAACTAGGAGGGGACTTCAGATAATTCTTGGAAAAATGAAAATCAAGTATGAGTTTCTTTGGTACCAAAAAATTGAAAGCCATGCATAGTTTTCACATAACACATATTTCCCATAAACTTTTTGAAGAATCCCCTTTCTTACTTGCTCAAGAAAGTATTGTTTTGTAATTCTAAGGAGCATAATGTCTTGTAATTTGCTTCAAAAAAGTGAATATGCAGGGACCAGTAGGTGGTGTAATGGTTAAGGCACTGGACACTCCCATATGGCCAACCACGGTTTGAGTCCTGGACCTGGTGAGTTGCCTTCTCACTTTCCTTCTCTCTCTGTGTCTCTCCCTGGTCAAATTAAAATAAATGAATGAATAAGTAAATTAAAAAAAAATAGTGGTAAATACAACTTAAAAAATAAATAAAATAAAAAAGTGAACACGTGGGTCCGGCAGGTGGCATGGTGGATGGGAAAGAAAGAAAGGTAGAAAGGGGGGGAGGGAGGGAGGAAGGAAGAAAGGAAGGAAGAAAGGAAGAAAGTTAAATAAAATAATTCTTAAAAAAAAAAAAAAAAAGTGAGCACACAGGGGCCAGCCTATTGTGGTGGTTAAGATGGCTAGATCCCATAAGGTCCAGGGCATGGTTTGAGAGTCCTGGACTCCTGTGGCTGTGTGTGCGCGTGCCCAAAAACCAGAAGGAGGGAGAGATGACGGAGAAGGGATTGCAACATGATCATTCTGCACAGGGGAGTGCTTTCTCACTTTCTCTCTCTCTCTCCAGCAAGCATACATGCCCTCTAGCAAAATTAAAAAAAAATAAAAGGGAAACATGCATATGCGAGTTTTCTCCATGTCAACATTCGGGTGTCTAAATCGCTCCCTTGTTATTGTCTGAAGGTTCCGCTTTCACAAACCTATAGCTCTTCTTGGTCCACCAGCCTCACTCTTAGAGCCTCAACCTACCCACCAGCGAGAGGGCTCAGAGAAAACACGGAGCGGTGTCCTCCGAATTTATACGTGATATTTGTCTCCTCATTAAGAAAATAATAAAATACGTTCACAGTACAAAGTTTAGAAATGCAAAGAAAAGCAAAAGTGCATATATTCCTGCCACGAATAAACGACAGGTGGAGATAATGTTTACCGTTTATTCAGCTCTCCGTAGTTTGTGCTAAATTTAGTTTTGAAACGCGCGACCTTATTTTCTAGACAGTTATTTTGCAGAATTTCTTTTTAGGCTTTTTCTAACCAAGGCCCCACCTAAAGCTCTCTTGACTTTCTGCCCTAATCCTGGCCCTAAATGATGCACGAGGTAAAATTTCAAGGCGAAGTCTGGTGTCAAGGTGGAAGTCTGCTTAGTCTCAGTGAAAATTTCCCACTCTGGAAATGTGTGGGTTTGGAGCTCAATTTTGTTCATTCTGGGAAAAATGCGCTAGCCTGGGAAGTTGGGGGAAAATCCGTTTGTTGAAGAATTCCCCACCTCGCACCGGGCCCTTTATGCACTACCTTAGGGTACCCGCGGTTCCACACAGGCGCCCAGCGCCAGATGCCACAGTGACCCCTGCGGAAAACGCCCTCGGCTCCCTCTGCGGGGGAACAAGACAGCTGTGTCCACGCCGGTAGCCCTGGCCCCGCCTCCACTGAGCCCAGCGAGCCAATAAGTGCTGAGCTCGACCGCGCGTCACGCAGCGCTGGCCAATCGCGGAGGGCCACGACCGTAGAAAGGCTGGGGGTCAGCGGCGCGGCTGACCGCTGGGCGGCGGCGGCGCGCGCTGGCGTAGACGGTCTCCGGCCATGGTGGTGGTGG